TCTACACTGTCCTTATCCCTCTATTCCTTGCCTATTCACATATCTGTCAAAATGCCTCTTAAACGTTACTATTGTATCTGCCTCCACCACCTCCTCTGGCTGCGCATTCCAGGCATTTACCACACTCCGTATTAAAAAAAAAACCTGCCACTCACATCTCCCTTAAACTTACTCCCTTTTATCTTAAACCTATATCCCATAGTATTTGACATTTCTACCCTGGGGATAAAGATGCTGACTACCCAAGACCCTCAAAGTTGTAAACTTCAATCAGGTTATCCCTTATCCTTTAACATTTGAATGAAGACAAACCAAGTTTGCCCAATGTCTCCTCATAGTTAATACCCTGGCAAACCATTTCTATACCCTCTCCAAAGCCTCCACATCCTCCTGGTAGGGTTGTAACCAGAACTGTACATAATATTCCAAATGTGGCCTAACTAGAGTTCTGTACAGCTGCAACACAACTTGCCAATTTTTGTACTCCATGCTCTGACCAAGGCAACCATACCATATGCCATCTTGACCACCATATCCTCTTGTATTGCCTCTTTCAAGGAACTATGGAATTGTACACCCAGATCCTTCTGTATTTTGATGCTATTAAGTGTTCTGCCATTTACTGTATACTTCCCTCCTGCATTAGATTTCCCAAAATGCATTACCTTGTATTTAGAACAAAGAACAAAGAAAATTACAGCACAGGAACAGGCCCTTTGGTCCACCAAGCCTGCGCCGATCCAGATCCTCTATTTAAACCTGTCGCCTATTTTCCAAGGATCTGTATCCCTCTGCTCCCTGCCCATTCACGTATCTGTCTAGATACATCTTAAATAACACTATCGTGCCCACCTCTACTGGCAACACGTTCCAGGCACCCACCACCCTCTGCGTAAAGAGCTTTCCATGCATATCTCCCTTAAACTTTCCCCCCTCTCACCTTGAAATTGTGACCCCTAGTAATCGAGTCCCCACTCTGGGAAAAAGCTTCTGGCTATCCACCCTGTCTATACCTCTCATGATTTTGTAGACCTCAAATCAGGTCCCCCCTCAACCTCCATCTTTCTAATGTAAATAATCCTAATCTACTCAACCTCTCTTCATAGCTAGCACCCTCCATACCAGGCAACATCCTGGTGAACCTCCTCTGCACCCTCTCCAAAGCATCCACATCCTTTTGGTAATGTGGTGACCAGAACTGTACGCAGTATTCCAAATGTGGTCGAACCAAAGTCCTATACAACTGTAACATGACCTGCCAACTCTTGTACTCAATACCCCGTCCAATGAATGAAAGCATGCCGTATGCCTTCTTGACCACTCTATCGACCTGTGTTGCCACCTTCAGGGTACAATGGACCCGAACACCCAGATCTCTCTGTGCATCAATTTTCCCCAGGGCTTTTCCATTTGCCGTATAGTTCGCTCTTCCAAAATGCATCACCTCGCATTTGCCTGGATTGAACTCCATCTGCCATTTCTCCACCCAACTCTCCAATCTATCTATATTCTGCTGCATTCTCCGACAGTCCCCTTCACTATCTGCTACTCCAATCTTAGTGTCATCTGCAAATTTGTCCAGATTAAACTCCATCTGCCATTTCCCTGTTCAAGTCTCCAGCTTATCTTTATCCTGCTGTATCTCCTGGCAATCCTCCTCACTATGCACAGCTCCCCAATCTTTGGGTCATCTGCAAACTTAATCAGGTCACCTGCATTCTCCTCCAAATGGCTTATATACCTCACAGAACAACAGGAGTCCCAGCACTAATCACTGTAGAACACCACTAGTCAGACTTCCAATATGAAAAACACACTTCCACCATTACCCTCTGTCTTCTATGACTGAGCCAGTTCTGTGTCCATCATACCAGCCCACCATGGATCCTTATGATTTGATCTTTTCTATCAACCTGCCATGAGGAACCTTGTCAAAGGCCTCACTTAAGTCATTGCAGACAACATCCATGCCCTGCCCTCAATCATCTTTGTCACTTCCTCTCAAAACACAACCACGTTGGAGAGACATGACCTTGCCCCAACAAAGCCATGTTGTCTATAGCTAATAAATCTATATTTATTAAAATTCATCCAAATCCAACTCCTATCCCTAAGAATCTTCTCCAACAATTTCCCTACCACTGACGCAAGGCTCAGCAGTCTGTAATTTCCTGGATTATCCCTGTTGCCCTTCTTAAACTAAGGAACAATGTCAGCTATTCTCTAGCCCTCTGGGACCTCTCGTCAGTAAAGAAGATAAAGATTTTATAAAAGGCCCCACCAATTTCCTCACTTGTCTCCCTCAGCATTCTGGGATAGATTCCATCAGGTCCTGGAACTTGACTACTTTAATGATTTTTCAAAACACCCAACACCACCTTCTTTATATTGACATGCCCTAAAATATCAAAACATGCCTCCCAAGAATCACCATCCATCGTGTCTTTCTCCTTTGTGCAAAGTATTCGTCAAAGACCACACCCACTTCCTTTGGCTTCACAGATAAATTCCCTCCTTTATCCTCGAGTGGAATACCTTTTCTTTAGCTACCCTCTTGCTCCTTATACATGTATAAAGCACCTTGGGATTTTCCTTAATCCTGTTTGCCAAAGATATTTCATGGCCCCTTTTAGCCCTCCTCATCCTTGTTTGAGGTTTTTTCCAGTTATCTTGGTATTCTTTGAGGACTCTGTCTTCAGGAAGTATGCTTCCTTTATCGTTTTGACTAAGCTCACAATTTCTCATGATCCAAGAATATTATCCTCATCCTTCATTTTCACATGACCTAATCAAATGGCCTTTAAAAGCCTCCCACATGCCAGATGTGAATTTCCCTCAAACAGCCATCCCCAATCTACATTCTCCAGTTCCTGCCTCCAACTTAATACTGTCACCTGAGGACTACTCTTCTCCTTATCCATAAGTAAATTAAAACTTACAGAATTATGGTCATTATTTTGAGCAGAAGATGTTCCCATTCAAGAAAGGATGAAACACAAGGGTGCAGATCTAAAGTATTCAGTAAAACAGTAAAGAATGATTGGAAGAAAAGCTTTTCCTGCACTAAATGGTTAAACTAATGAATGCCCTGCCTGAGAGGATGGGTTTGAACAAAATACTAAAATAGAAATTAGTCGGTTATTTGGAAAGGAAGACCATGCAGGCTTACAGTGAGAGATAGATATGGGCGAGGTGAGAGAATGGCATTAAGCCAATTGCTCAGAGCTGGCACAGACACGATGGAGCAAATGGTCTCCTTCTGGGATGTAATAATTTTGTGATTCAGTGATAAACATTGTGCCACATATTATTTGAACTTTTACCCATTCCGAAAGTACAACCCATCGCAGTTGGCTCTTCTTCCTTTTGCAATTACCTGACTATTGCAGATATGTTTGCAGAATGGAAGAATCCTTGATGAATGATGACTGATTTGTTGCTCGCTGAGTGAATCAGCTAACAACTTCAAAGATGCAGGCCTGGGCCAATTGGCAGCTGGTGAGCCTCGCAGGCTCTGGCAGTTGGCAGCATTTAAGACAGTGAACTCCAGTGTGGGGGCATGGGGGGGGAAAATCACCGAGCCTGAATGACATCAATGCTGAATTTTTAACGTTATATCTTTATTTTTCTACTTTGTGCCTTAGACCTTGTACCTAGGTACCTAAGATGGTGCCGGGAACGGTAACTGTGTACACTTTTCACTGTATTCCTGTATCACCATACTTGAGAGCGCATGACAATAAGATCTAATTCTATTCAAATTCTGTAATGGAGTCATGGAGTCATACAGCACGGAAACAAACCTTTTGGTCCAACAAACCCTGCTGACTATATTCCCAAACTAATCAAATTCCACTGGCCGGCATTTGGCCCATATCCCTCCACACCTTTCCTATTCGTGAAAATATGCAAATATCTTTTAAACATTGTAACTGTACCTGCATGCACCACTTTCTCTGGCAGTTCATTCCACACACAAACCACTGTGTAAAATGGTTGCCCCTCAGGTCCTTTTTAACTCATTCTCTAGTTTTAAAAAAATGCCCTTTAGTTTTAAATTCCCCCACCCTTGGGGATCGACTCTTGTCTTTCACCTTATTTATGCCCCTTATGATTTTATAAACCCCTATAAGATTACCCCCAACCTCCTACGCTCCAGTAGGAAGAGTTCTAGCCTAGCCAGCCATTTCCTTATAACTCAAACCCTCCATTCCTGGCAAATCTTCTCGGCATCCTCTCTAGTTTAATAATATCCTTCCTATAGCAGGGCGACCAGAACACACACACTACTCCAGAAGAGGCCCCACCTGTACAACCTCAACACGATGTCCCAACTGCTACACTCAAAAGGTCTCAGCAATGACGGCGTGTGCCATACGCCTTTTTAACCACCTGTGATGAAAATTTCAAAGGATTACGTACCGGAACCCCGAGGTCTCTCTGTTCTACAACACTTACCCAGAGCCCTACCATTAAATTGCAGGAGTCCTGTCCTTGTTTGTTTTACCAAAATGCAATATCTGTCATTTATACAAATTAAACTCCAACTGCCACTCCTCAGCCCATAGATCCGCAACAACCACATTCTGTTATATGAACCAAAGGGCCACACAATACCCCCAAGTAGGGACAGTGCAGCACAAACGCTGCACTGACACACAGCCTCTCACAGTGTTACTCTAAGATATTTTCGTAATCCCTGAACGGAAAAAAAGGATTAATGTGACATACATCCAATACTGAAGAGGGATTAAAAAAAAAAGTTCTTTTAAAAAAGTTTTTGTTGAATGCACTTTTCAGAAATATTTCAGGGAAGAGAGGAGTGTGTGCTTAGAGATTTATGAAACAGCAGATACAGGTCTATCGAACAGTGTATGTCTGCAATGTTGCCTTTCCTTTTTCTTGTTTAAACCTGCTACGCATTTCTTTTAGCCAGTCTTTTAAAACTTCCCCACTCAGCCTCTCCCTGTGGTGTCGAGCTCTACACTCCCATCACCTTCTGGATAAGGAGAATCTCACCCCACCACCAAACACCTTCTTGGGATTCTCAGGAATATCAGTGTTGTTCCACTCCTATATAACAGTCGCTGCAACTTGCAGGCGCCTGAAACCACACGCGTTTCTCTCGCTCTCAGCCCTCGGGGGGCGACTCCAGACGCGGGTGTTGTTGCGGCTGACCTGAAGCGTTCCTGGCCGGCGGTGTCCCACAGCTGCAATTTGATCCTACAGCCCGGCTCTACCTCCAACACCCGGGCGTAAAAATCCACCCCCACCGTGGGGTCCTGCAGCTCACTGAAAGTGCCATCAGTGAAACGCTTGAGAAGAGAAGATTTCCCCACAGTGGAATCTCCCAGCAAGATAATCCGAAACTGGTACTGCCAGATTGTATCCATAGCATTGTCCACCAGGACCAGCCTCAGCTCCTCTCCAAACTTCACTCACTCAACTTTCTACCCAGTGAATGAGAAATGACTGTCCTCTCCCTCTGACGGAAGCAGCTGTCCTTACATTAGCTGTCGTATTGGTTCAAAAAGTTTTCCTGGTGTCATGTGATAGCTCTCAGCACCACGAATTGGGCAGGTTCAGCCCTTATTTCTGTTTGCAGTCGATTACAACTCATGATGGGTTTTAATCCCGTATTCAAGTTGGAACTGTTTTCATGGAAAGTTAAACTAACTTTGAAAGGTACAAGATCAGAAGCAGACTTGACCGGGAGAAGAATAGGGGTTGAATGTACAATATAACGTGCCTCAGATGTATGTAATTATAATTTTGTCTAATTAAGAAATCCCTTAGGTTTATTTGTTCGCTACTGTTACTGTGTGCAGAACCAAACTGTTCAAGTGACTATGTTTACAAAAAAGTGAATGAAGTATGGTTTTGAAATTAAAAACAAAACACTGCATAAGCAACTGCAGGGACACTGAGGAATGTAAAATTTCAATGTGTTACACAGTCATACAGCATGAAAACAGACCCTTTCGTCGAACCAGTCCATGTCGACCATAATCCCAAACTAAACTAGTCCCTTCTGCCTGGACTTGGCCCAAATTTCTCCAGACATTTCTTATCCATGTACTTAAGAGTCATAGAGCTATACAACACAGAAACAGACCCTTCACTCCAACTTGTCCATGCCGACCAGATATCTTAAATTAATCTAGTCCCATTTGCCAGCATTTGGCCCATATCCCTCCGAACCCTTCTTATTCATATACCCATCCAGATGCCTTTTAAATGCTGTAATCATACCAGCCTCCACCACTTCCTCTGGCAGCTCATTCCATACACGCACCACACCCTGCTGAAAAAGTTGCCACTTAGGTCCCTTTTAAATCTTTCCCCTCTCACCTTAAACCTATACCGTCTAGTTTTGGACTCCACCGACCTGGCAAAAAAACCTTGTCTATTTAACCTATCTGTACCCCTCATAAATTTATAAACCTCTTCAAGGTCACCCTCTATAAGGCCTCTGACATTGCAGGGAAAATAACCCCAGCCTATTCAGCCTCTCCCTATAGTTTAAACCCTCCAACCCTGTCAACATCCTTGTAAATGTTTTCGGAACTCTTTCATGTTTCACAACATTTTTTCCTATAGCAGGAATTGAACACAATATTCCAAAAGTGGCTAACCAATGTCCTGTAACGCTGCAACATGACTTCCCAACTCCTGTATTCAATGCACTAACTAGTAAAGGCCAGTGTACCAAATGCCTTCTTCACTATATAAAAACCGAAAGAATTACGGATGCTGTAAATCAGGAACAAAAACTGAAATCGCTGGAAAAGCTCAGCAGGTCTGGCAGCACCTGTGAAGGACAAAGCAGAGTTAACGTTTCGGGTCCGGTGACCCTTCCAAAAGACCAAAACGTTAACTCTGTTTTTTCCTTCACAGATGCTGCCAGACCTGCTGAGCTTCTCCAGCAACTTTGTTTGTGTGCCTTTTTCACTATCCTGTCAACCGGCAGCTCCACTTTCAAGGAACTATGAACCTGTACTCTTTGTTTGGCAACATTCCCCAGGACCCTACCATCAACTATTTAAGTCCTGCCCTGCTTTGCCTTACCAAAATGCAACACCTCACATTTATTTAAACTCCATCTGCCACTTTTTGGCCCATCGTACCGTCTGATCAAGGTCCCGTTGTACTCTGAGATAACCTTCTTCATTGTCCACTACACCCCCAATTTTGGTGTCATCTGCAAACTCACTGTCCTGTTGCCACTTTGACCTCTTTGTCCTCAATCTTTTACACTGCTCCAATGAAGCTTAACAGCTGAATTGCTTCTCAACTTGCAGGCACTTCACAGCCTTATGGACTCAATGAATTCAATAATTTCAGATCAGACCCTCTGTCTTCATTTTATCCCATTAACAGCTGCCAGTGACGATTCTATTATTCACATCTCCAATACTTTTACAGTCATTTTTATTTATCTCACTACCACCTACTTTTACTTTGCAACATCACTCCTTTTGTTATTGAATCTCTCCAAACCAAACCCCTTATCACTTCCTTTCCCTTTTATTTCCCCCTCTCCATCCACGTGTCCCCACCCCCCACCCCAATACCTCACTGTTTGCTTAAACCTGTTACATGTCAAAATTTCTCCAGATCTAAGGAAAGGTCATTGAGGCTGGTAGGAATGTAGAATGCACTGTCTGGGAGGATCGTAGAGAAGGGAAACCTTACAAACTTTTGAAAAGCATGTGGATGAGCATTTAAAATGTCAGAACATTCAAGGTTATGGGCCAAGTGCTGGAAAATAGGATTTAGTGTAGGTAGGTCAGCACAGAATTATTTACTATTTTTCTCCATCCACAGATGCTTCCGGACCTGCTCAGTATTTTCTATATCTTGTCTTTAATCAATTTCCAGCATTCACAATATTTGCTTTTGTTTTGATTCCATTAACTGGAGACACTGATCAAATGATTCCTTTGTCAACAATTTCAATGACATAAATGTACAAGGTACAAATATATGTGAACATGAAAACTGTAAGGCTATTTCATCGTTATAATGGATTCAAAAACAGTCCAGCAATTTTTTTTCTGAGAATTAGTTTAATGTATTACTATTCCAAAAATGTCATCTTCAAACCTCTTCCAGTCCTATCTTTAAAATCATCTGAAGCAGGGACTTTTGAGGATAATCATAAACATGTTCACATAGCCTTATCTTAAAGGTAAGCAAAATTTCTGACTGAGTAAAATGTTGTAACCCTTTTTCTTTTTAATTCTGTTTGCTGTTGAATTTTTAAGAAAGTCATTGGTTGTTTATTAGATTTAAAGCTTTGAACACATTTTTTAGACAGGATGAGGAGTCTTAACATCTTGTCACACCATAAAGTTACTCCTGATCATTGGTTTTCCTGAGGCATGAATTTACTGTGCAAACTTCTGTGTTGTGCTCTGTAGTAAAAATAACCTTTCCTTTTTGCACACCCCCTGCTATGCCTTAAATACCTGTGTTTGAAAAACCTGCACGATTGAAGCAAACAACTTTTGAGCTTGTTACAACCAGACTGAGCAAAGTTCTCCAATTTGTTACAGTTCCAAATGGGATACTCCCAAATTGTCTGTGCCTCATTGAGGAGTGCTGAACTGACACCTGTTCTTTCTTCATCCATTCACTCAGCTGTTGCAACAAGGCTAATTAAAAAAGGATAACAAGATGTAGAGCTGGATAAACACAACAGGCAGGCTGATGTTTCGGGCCTAGACCCTTCTTCAGAAAAAGGGTCTAGGCCCGAAACGTCAGCCTTCCCGCTCCTCTGATGCTGCTTGGCCTGCTGTGTTCATCCAGCTCTACACCTTATCCAGACTACGGGCAGGATGCATGAGACAGTTCAAATAGCTAAAGAACACCCTTATTGTGAGAGGCTGCACAGAGCAATTCTTCCTCTGTGCTGTTCCCATCTTCCAGAACAAGTACACAGTGGGGTTAGGTATGGAATAAAGCTCCCTTTCAGCATCAAACACCAGCATTTAACTTTCAAACTAAGTAGTAGAAGGGTCAGTACTGATCTCAACAGTGCAAGCTTATGAAACAGCTATATGATCAGTAAGAATACAGAAGGAACACATTGTACTGCTTGGGAGGCTGAAAGCACAAACGGCCAGATTTTTTT